GTAAGTTAAATATCATATCCTTCTTAAACATTTGTATCTGGTACAATGCAATGGTAGCAATGGTGACAAGAGCAATCTGTGAAAGAGATATGTTTGCTGAAAAAAGATAATACTGCATAAGTGTTCATCATGGCCTACCTCTAAGATTGCTACAGGTCTCAAACACGTGGAGCTGTTGTGGATTCTGTGTGAATGTGTAGACTTTGATCATTGTGTCCAAAACTACCACAATCCTGTAACAAAAAAAACAACCACTGGCTGTAATCTGTATACCCTTTGAGGGGATAATACTGCCTTAATGGCAAGCTGGTTTTCCAGTGATACGGTATAGCCCAGGACCCGCTCACTAGTTCAGCAATGTCGAGCGTGGTCAGTAGTTGGATGGGTGACCCCCCGCACGTTACATTATTACTCATTTGATACATTGTATTGTTATAACAGACAAAACACCTTTTTTTACATTTTTTTCATGAGTTCCAAGCAAGAACTTGTTCATTATTTCGATTTAGTCTAAGTTATTATATTCAGCTTGAGTCCAGGGCCTGTATTCATCAAACTGTTCTCATGCTCAAACTCAGATTCTATGCTCAATCCCATCCACTTGCTCCTGTGTTGAATAAATAATTAATATAACATGTTGTCAATGATATGGAAGAAATTTGCAGATACTTAAAGCCATGCAGAGACACTCAACTTTTTCATTTTTTTTATTCTAGCCAGTTGCAAGAAAGTCAGCTTGTGCACAGAATTCATGCTTGAGCATGAGAATGTTTTTCATGAATACAGACTTAGGACTTAAAATTTCTTTTATTAAACTGATATTATAATGATAATATACATTCTGACACAACAACAGATTAAGTACCATTCCGTCATATACATGAACAATACATTACCTGTCTCGTCGCAGCCTTACACTTCTAACCTCTGTGGAAAATTCCAATTCTATCACATTTTTCTTTTTAAGGTCATCCCACACCATAACTGTCCAATAAATATGTGTAATGTTCATGATTTTTTTCTCAATTTTTCATATACATTGTACAGGTAAAAAAATACTGTTGTTTAGAACAAGTACATTTGTAACTAAAATTTGCACATCATATCAGTTTCGTATGCCGGTACATGTATTTATGATAAAATATTAAAAAAAATTGAAGATACCAGTAGATGTACATGTATGAGAATCAAATTCTTTACTGGGAGGGCACTTTGTCAATACATACAAACGTTTACTGGAGGGGAGAGGGGGTACTTAGTCAGTTAATACAAACCTTTATTGGGAGGATACTTTGGGTTTTTTCCTCCTCCAACTAATGCTAAGTAATTACACCTAAACAGCATTTCAATGTGAGTAATACCTCCATCAGCAAAGTCTGTTGAGAAAATAAATCGAAAAACAATCTAAATACAAATATGTTTAAGTGTTTTAGCATATCTCACATCACTTTTCTTCAAGGTTTTCCATAACTATGTTTCTTAAGTAGGTCCCAAGAACAACAGGAAAAACACACTTAGGATAAACTATGAATTTATAAATGCAACTTAATACTGTGAAACATTTTTTATGTCCCAAGTCATCATGATCTTGAAAAAGGTTCAAAATAAACAGGATAGCAGATATAAGGTAGATAACATACATTTTGATTTTGATTTTTTTAATTCCATGACAAAATTGAATAATGTTTCACTCATCATGCATTAAGTTATACACAAAAAATGATACTAAAGAAAATCAATGCTTTGTTGGTTTACAGAAATGTATGTGAAAATGAATAACATGTGAAATATAGATAACCTACATATCGAGTGTCGGAGTAAATTATATGTAGCAATGGATGGTCTTAAGCTTGGGACCAATAATTCATCATGGTGCTTAAGATATTATGTATATTGCATATGTGCAAAATAAATCAGAGTTAGTAAACTATACCTTGTCTTTCTTTTTCTTTTAACGGATCTGAATTATAAACTCGAAAACCTGTTTCCATTCCACAAGCAAAACATCCTAGAACAAAAAGGGAAAGAAGAATTAAGATGACATCACAGAATACATATATATTCTGTATAAAACATGATTGATATCCATTTATTAGTTCCAGAGAAGAAGTCGTTTAAACCAATATAGCCCAATTACCCTTCCCCCCCCCCTGAGCCCCATGGAGGGGTCAGCTCCTCCATTTGTAAAATTTTAAATTCCCACCTCCTAGGGATGCTTCCAGTCATATTTAGTTAATTTCCAATCTGTGGTTCAGAAGAAGAATTCGTTTGAAAAAAATTGTTGATGAACAGATGATGGACAGATGTACCATCCGAATGGATGGATGATGGATGCCAAGAAATGACATAAGCTCATATTGGTCCTTTGTACCAGTTGAGCTAACAAGTCAAGATCTGAGCATCATACGACCATTCGTTATAAATTTTAGAATTTTTCAATAATTATTTTCAGTAGAGAGAGCTTGAGCTTGACCTTTGACAATCAATGTGCAAATTAATAGACTTGTTCCTTCCCTTCACCCAATCTATACACACAGTCTGAGATTTGTGTGTGCAGCCATTCATTCTTTATGCTTCAGTCACATTTGCGAAATCGCTGGCCGGGAAGTAGGAATCGGCCGACTTCCCAGCGTCCCAGGGACTTTTTTCCGATGTCTGGGATTTGGCTTGAGTATGGTCACATTAGATATGGGCACCGCACAGTCCCCGCAAACAATTTGCCGAGTTAAATTGAAAAGACATCTGGAGGCTACCGTAGAGAGCCAGTAAGACTATTGCAAGGCTATCTGACAATGGCCAGGCTGTCATATGGTAGTTGGAAGATGTTCACCTTAAAACTCTGGACTCTCAGAAACTTTCAGCAGATTGTGAAACAATTCCTTATCGTCTGGTTTTATACCTAGATGGTCCATGACAAAATGGTACAGTTTAGGTTAGAAAAATAGTGGCCATAATCTCCAGGTGTCCTTACTACGGTTCCCCGTCTTGCCTGCCTATTTAAGCAAAAATACTCATTGCCCGGGCGCCTTTTTGGAAATCAGCGCAAATGTGACTGAAGTATAAGTTAGGACAACAATTTTTTATCGTAAGTGCGAGTGACCTCTATATTATCATTTGACAAATCAGTATAGGGCACTTCCTCTTCACTAGAACAAACCACATACCCATGTTAAAAGGTCACTTTGAAAAATCCCTGTTGCAGTTATTGTCACTTTCGTTACAGTCATGTTAAGTATATAATTGAAACTGAATTAGGACCACCTGCATAAACCTTCAGACCAGCACTAGCCAAAACATTCAGTCATAAATGTAAAAGGGAAGGGGAAAAAACTACGGTGAGACCAGGAATTGAGCATGGGACCTTAAAACTTTACACAAACATAATAAAACAAACTCGAATAAAAGGACACTCGATCTAATCAACTGATCTTTTGTTGGTCTGGTTGGAACAGTCCAAGTGACTCGTAAATATTCTGTGACAAACGAAAGCACTTGGACCAAACACGGGCCGACCTAACGTGCAGAGTTTAAAATACACCGTTCAAGAATTCCATGTGCTTCTTTCTCCTGAGTACTAAATTTATAGACATAGCCTGAAATACAGAAATGAATCAATCTTGTTTTATGTAGAAATATCACAAAGTAACTATAATCAGACGTTTAGTTTAGACCAGACAGAAGGACTTGACCCCTTGACCTACAAGTGCTACATTTTCCTGCAGAGGTCAGCAACAGTCCTGATCTACTGTGCTTGTCGTTGCTATACTTGTCCAATCAGTTGCATCAGAGTTTAACAGGAAGGGAAAAATGCAAAGCTAAACAAGGATTCTAACCTGGAACCCTCAAAACTTGGATGGCCCTCTAATCAATTGAGCTTCCTGGTTGCCGATGATCAACCCAGTCTAGTTTTGCAACATTCTTCCCTCAATCCTTTACAAAGTTTTCAACCCTGAAGAAACATGAGACCCTATATCACCCTCAGAAGGTTTATTTTGTTAGGCACTAAATGTAAAAGGAGATGAAAATCCATGGCCAGACTGGGATTCGAACCGGAGACTGTACTCTAGACAGATGCTCTACCAATAGCGCTACAATGTGTGATTGGTCATCATGTGTGTGGTGTACATGCACAGACGTTTCAGAACTCAGTTGTTTATAGGTACCGGTACTTCCAAAAAGTTGTTTCTAATTTTCACTTAAACTTACAATTTGAATTTGTACTTTGTTTACTTTTTGCATCCTGTGCCACTGTCGTTGATTTTATATTTTCAGATTCTTAATAAGTACTTTTCGTCTCTACAAAAAAAATCTTAAACATCCGATCTTTAGGTATTGAAACAATTGGGTATTGAAATGACTAGGACTTGTCATGCATCATGTGCGATTGACCAAGACATTAGTCCAGCTCCACTGCACTGTAACAAAAAGTTAAAATCGGGTCTTGGCAATTGACCCTATAACCTGTTTTACCATCTAAATAATAATCTACCTTAAAATTAAATCAAAATATACAAAGGATGTTATTGCTTATTCTATATAATCACTATCATAGATTTGAAAAATGAAATTTCTTTTTCAAGCTCAGTCCAGAGACGTATAAAGCCATATATACGTCTCTGCTCAGTCTAATAATGCTGCTATTTCAGATTTATAAATCATGACTATTCTTAGCTTTCTTTATGAACAATGGGGAAAAGCCAATGCTACTTGGCATGGCTACTAACAAAATATGCACTGAAAGAATAACCATGGCATCATCGAAACGTTATCTACAAAAAAAATATTGTGGATAATTTACAGGCCCAAAAAGGGTGAAAATGATTATAAACCTTGGTCTTGGTTCCATCCAACGTAGAGCAGTCCATTACCATACTGGTTTTCTCCAGACAAATTCATTGTCGGCACTTGGAATTTATGACAACATTGATAAAATGTTTAAGTTATGCCAACTCTGATTTATAATTCACGGATGTGAAATTCGTCAACAAATCACACACCCCTCAATGCAAAGCTTCATAGTGCATTATCAGTCAAACGCAAAAGTGATCAAGATCGTTCCAGGGTGAAGGCCGATTTCAGTTACTCTCTGAATTTAATATAAATTAATGTTTCATTAAATGCTTGCTTATACTACATGACTTTTTATCGCTCGTTCTTAATTTTAACATTAAATTCGGGACATAATAAATTAGTTGTATTCAAAACTGGATCATTCAAACAAATTCTCTTTTAAAGATTAAGACAGCAAAGATGGCCGCATTCAGAGCATTGGCTACGTTTTCGAAGAGGGTGTTGTTTACAAATGCATCAAAAACAGCGCAGCCTGCATCATGGCAGTTCATAAGATGCATGTCAGCAGGTATGGTTGACCTAATACACATGAAAATAGCTGTCATTTTACTTTATCAAATTCAAATGTATCGATTTCTCTATCTAAGTGCGTGGTGTCGATATCAAGGTCGACAAGATAACATTAAGGGAAGTAACTCTTGTATTTGGTTTGGCAGTGCTCCCCGGTAGTTGTCGGGAACTATAATTTTGAATGGTACATATCAAATTCCCACTGTGTATTGATATATAACTTTTCAGAAGAATGCAAACATCTAAAATAGATCGTAGTGTATGTTAAAGAAAAAAGGAGAAGGAATAGAAATAGTTGGGTTGTCAAATGCAGTAGCCATATAATTATAATGTTTGTGAACTTATATGACTGACAGTACCAGCACTGGAACACTATTTCATTATTTGGGGTTTTTGTGAAGTAGAAAAACATAATACTACTGTATAAAAAATATCGTAATATTGAATTGTTTCAAAGTAATTTAGGTTTATACACCTCTGGTACTTGGGAACTAGAAATTTATGTAAAGTTTTCGGTCATTTTCTCTTTGTACTAGCAACATATGACACAAAATCTTTTGTTTTAAATGGCCTGCACATTTTGTTTTTTGTTTTACCTTTACATTTCATGTCATATTCCCTTTTTCATGATCCTCTGATGAAATACGATTCTTGATTAGCAAATTATGATAAAAAATCTTGTTTTTCCCACTCTTTTATTCATTCTGTTCCTTATGAAGTGTTTTATGTTAACTACACTGTTAATGAGAATATTGACAGAAATGCATAGTTCTATGGTACATATTATCTTGTGGTTATAAAAAAAATTACAAACAGGATTCCGTCCTAGTTGTCAAAATACATGTATATTCACAATCAAATTTTATAACTTCAAGAGTATTTTAGCCATAACCCTCCATGTCTGGTCTTATCCATTAATTTTGCAGTGTTCAAAAGTAAACCATAATCTCTGACACAGGGTTAATCATGTTCACTTTCATCTTTCAGGCCAATATGAACACATTTTGGTGGACAAGCGTGGCGAGAAAAAAAATGTTGGGTTTATTCAATTGAATAGGCCAAAAGCTCTCAATGCTTTGTGCAATGCTCTCATGGTGGAGACAAATGATGCGATTGGAAAGTTTGATGCAGATGACGGTGTTGGGTGTATTGTCCTCACAGGCTCAGACAGAGCTTTTGCTGGTAAATTTGCAGATTTTGTTTTCTTTTATGAGGTAGTCTTGAACTGACAGGCTTTAGTTTTGTATATAAGAAGAACGAAAAGGGTTTTCAAGATCAATTTCCCTTTATTTTTATTGTGTAAGGCTCTGAGCTACCTTCTTTTGAAGAGTCAGAAGTTAATTTTACAAATGCTAAATTGTGACTTACATTTAGAGTTAAATTGATGATACTGTTTAGTCATCAGGTGATCATCACATATGTAGAAGGACGAGGAATAGTGCCAACAAACTGGGGCTCAAACCCGTGACCCTTGGCTCTCTAGCCCGATGCTCTACCACTGAGCTAAAGGGAAATTCCCCACAGCTAACGCTTATAAGGCAACCTAATAAATTCACATCTTTTACACATATATTTGATTGAGATGTTATGTGAAAAAAGTACCTTAATTTGCATCATATATACATATGCACAATCAGTAAAAGGTCATGTTTGACCTATGTTATAGTAAGGGGGGGAATGATCAAAGAATTGTTTTTCCAGCTGGAGCAGATATCAAGGAAATGTCAGGCCAGGACTTCTCTGATGTTTGGAGGAAAAACTTTCTAGCTCACTGGTCAAAGCTTGAAAAATGTACCAAACCAATTATTGCTGCAGTAAATGGCTACGCAGTAAGTAGTATAAACACCATCAATTAATTAATGAAACCCACAAGTTCAGTAAATCTGTATAGCAGTTACAATAGTTTAGGAGCTTGTACATCATGTTTGTTTACAAAAGAACTGTTGATGATTGTGCCTCTAGTTACCACAGAACTGTTGATGATTGTGCCTCTGGTTACCATAGAGCTGTTGATGATTGTGCGTCTAGTTACCATAGAACTGTTGATGATTGTGCCTCTAGTTACCATAGAACTGTTGATGATTGTGCCTCTAGTTACCATAGAACTGTTGATGATTGTGCCTCTAGTTACCATAGAACTGTTGATGATTGTGCCTCTAGTTACCATAGAACTGTTGATGATTGTGCCTCTGGTTACCATAGAACTGTTGATGATTGTGCCTCTGGTTACCATAGAACTGTTGATGATTGTGCCTCTAGTTACCATAGAACTGTTGATGATTGTGCCTCTAGTTACCATAGAACTGTTGATGATTGTGCCTCTGGTTACCATAGAACTGTTGATGATTGTGCCTCTGGTTACCATAGAACTGTTGATGATTGTGCCTCTGGTTACCATAGAACTGTTGATGATTGTGCCTCTGGTTACCATAGAACTGTTGATGATTGTGCCTCTGGTTACCATAGAACTGTTGATGATTGTGCCTCTGGTTACCATAGAACTGTTGATGATTGTGCCTCTGGTTACCATAGAACTGTTGATGATTGTGCCTCTGGTTACCATAGAACTGTTGATGATTGTGCCTCTGGTTACCATAGAACTGTTGATGATTGTGCCTCTGGTTACCATAGAACTGTTGATGATTGTGCCTCTGGTTACCATAGAACTGTTGATGATTGTGCCTCTGGTTACCATAGAACTGTTGATGATTGTGCCTCTGGTTACCATAGAACTGTTGATGATTGTGCCTCTGGTTACCATAGAACTGTTGATGATTGTGCCTCTAGTTACCATAAAACTGTTAGTGTTTTATAGCTAGCAGTTACAAAAGAAATCCATGTTGATGATCACACATCTAGTAGTTACTACAGAACTGTTGGTGTTTTTGTAGTAAACTTAATTCTGAGGTGCAGGGAGTAAAGCAGTAGAGAAGGAATCAAGAAACCTACTCTGATGCTGTTGTGATCGATACTCTTACCTGAAACTTATTTCTGTTAAAAAAAGTATGAAACAAGTTCTATCAACTTATATTAATCACTGTTGTTGGCCCTGATAGAAGTTCAATACGGGAAGAAACCAGAATAACCAGAGAAAACTTGCATGGTTTGGCAGGCGACTCCATACCCCTTTACTTCCGATCAGAGAATCAAACCCGGGCCATCTTGGTGACTCTGTCACATGACCACAGGAGTTAGTGTGTGTACGGGTACTCAATATAGAACTGTTTGTATTATTACAGCTAGGTGGAGGTTGTGAGCTGGCGATGATGTGTGACATAATCTATGCTGGGGAGAAGGCACAGTTCGGACAGCCTGAAATAACACTAGGCACAATACCAGGTAAAGGCATTACAATAAATGGTTTGATCCATGATATATATTCTAAGGATTACCTCATTTACTCCTGAAGACACATCTGAACTCTTCCAATTCGAAGGTTGGAATAGTTCATTATGAAATTTCAGAGGTGAATGAACATGAGCTAACACAGGAAGGAAAGTTAACTCAGATCATTGAAACATGAATAATCAGTGACTTTCTGATTTTGTTGTTTAGGAGCGGGAGGTACTCAGAGGCTGTGTAAGGCTGTAGGCAAATCCAAGGCCATGGAGATTATCCTGACCGGCAACTTCATGTCTGCAGTAGATGCCGAGAAGTCAGGTTGGTTTTATGTTTGGGATCATTTTTTTTTTAAAAATCAATTTTTCATACTGTCAAGTAAAATTCACTTAATATGTGATTTACAATTTCTATTTCCTTCTAGAACTAAGGTTTTGGTGTGAGAGAAGTTAGATATTAAAACGACGTAGCCATGAATTAAAAAGGAAAATAATGATACTGTCAAACCTGTCTACAAAGACCACTCAATGGAGAAAGAAAAAACAGTCTTCTCCAGTTATTTCTACCGGTTATTTTTGTCATTATAGACAAGAAGAAGTGGCTCTTAAGAGAGAAAACACCATATCAGGATTTTGTTTAGACTGATAGTTAAAGCCAGGTAGTCTTTAGAGATGGGTAATCTTACTGGATAGGTGACTTTAATAGATTAGATGTTTTTTGAGACAGGTTTTTAAACATGATCAATGTGAATTAAATCCTTAAAAAACTTTAATTAATAATTTTTTCTTGCTGGATAACTTAATGTAAGTCCATGTTGCTTTTACTGAAATCTTACCTACACTATAATCAGTGACCAATATTGTGATTCATTAAAAAGCTTATTCATGAGAATCAGAATTCATGAAGAACAATAATGGGAATATGTCAAGGTGCTGATTAAAAGCTATGAATAGAATTTTCATGCAAATTTGCACCTGTATGACCTTCTCCCTGACCTTTTCTCCAGGTTTGGTGAGTAAAGTTTTACCAGCAGACCAGCTAGTCAACGAGGCTGTTAAGACAGCAGAAAAAATCAGCAGCTTCTCCAAGATCACTGTGGGCATGTGTAAGGAGGCGGTCAATGCAGGTAAGAAGGGGAAGCAAGAACTGGTGTCACTTAATTAACATACTTAAGGTATTAATGGAAAACTCACTTATGGCTATATATTCATAGGTTAGGGTCAGACAACTTGGGTTAGAGGGTGAAACAACAGGTCAATGTATTAACATATGTTAGACACTGGCAACTTGGGTCAGAGGATGAAACAACAGGTCAATGTATTAACATATGTTAGACACAGGCAACTTGGGTCAGAGGCCCAGATGTACAAATGTAGACAGCTAGAATCTCAGATTAGGGAGTTAACACTTAAGGTTGCCGTTTACAGTGTTTGCCTCTACACCCTTGTCATATGTATGTCTCATGAAATTTCTTTAATATTTACCTTACCCCACACCAAATCAACAAAATGTACGCATGAACCTCACTAATATTCCTAATTTGATAAATAGTAAATTGATTCCCACATAATGAGTAAGGGGTATTAAAATACTATATTTTGCATTATACACAAGATTGATTGATTCCATCCCTATTTTCCAGCTTATGAACTTTCTCTGGCCGAGGGGCTTCACTTTGAGAAGAGGATTTTCCATGCTACATTTGCAACTGTAAGTATGGTTTGATGGAGTGGCATATACATTGTATAGAAAACAGCAGTTATGTTACAGATATCTTTGAACTCCAACGGTTCTGCTGTTGTTACACGTATTTTCTCAACACCTTGGAATGTGACATAAGACATTAATATTGCATCACATGCGACACAACCTAGCTGGTCTGTGAGAAAGGGATATCACAGATACTCAATTTTGCCAAAATGTATTGTATTGTATCTAATTCTTTGTTTATTTAACGTGGGTTACGAACAGCCCACAGGCTACGAGTTCCTTTCCTCACATTTATCAAACAAGTGAACAGCACAGTTTTAACCGACAGTACAAAATATAGGAAATGCATGACCATTTTCACTGGTTATTAGCAGAATGAAATATTTGGATATTTTATTCTGTTGGTTGATTGAGATTGAGCCATTTATAAGCAGTATATAAAGCTGATCAGGAATTAAATTGAGTGTCTGCATTGTATTACATCAGATGTATCTCAGATTTGAGGTCTAAATTCTAAACGGTAGCAATTGCTTTGTGACTGTGTGACTTGTGGCAATTTTTTCATTAAAGTTTCTTGTCCTGTACCTTAATGTAATTGTTATACATGTGTACCCCTGCGAAATATGACCGCTATACAGTACTCATAATATTGACAAGCTCTGAATTGTATTTTACAGAACGACAGGAAGGAAGGGATGAATGCATTTGTTGAGAAGAGGAAGCCAAACTTTACTGACAACTGATTTTTGTACTTGTACTACGGAAGCTTTTAGTAGTGTGCCAAAGACGTAATAATTGGAGAAAAGAAAATTGATTACTATCCTAAATTGGTCTATCAAATCAAGCACTAGGCAGATTTTTAACCATCCCAAGGTCAAATTCTGTGATGAAGGGAGGCTTAATGCTTGATTTGGATTATAAACATAGCTATATTGTGAGGGTACCTAAAATGGAGCACTTTTCATATACTCATATACGCCATGCATCATTAATATTTTGTTATACAAATAAATGGTATCTATTCTATATCGAAATTTTTATAGTTTTAAGGAATTGGAGCAAATTTTTTCTGCCTACCTCTTTTATTTTGTTCAATAATTAAAAATTAAATGAAACAATTCGAAGGAAATGGTATGTGCAACAACATAAATATCCTATCACTTTTCTAACAAAGGAGAAATATATGTTCAAATCAATTGTTTAATTATGATATACTGAAAGTTATCAGAAAGTGTCTGAACTTACTTAAATTGAAGAAAAAATATTTTAAATGTTTAAATGTTGTAAATTATTTTCTAAAACAACTATTATGACGGTAATATGATGGTTATCTGGAAAGCTAACGTGAACATGACTCAACTTAATGAATTCTAATAAAAGACAAGCGTGCTGGTGATACCAAATAAAATAAATGGGTATTTATTGTTTCATTATAGAAGAACAGTTCATGTTCCAGAAATCAAATAGGAAATAGGAAAATTTATAATATTTTTATGATTTCATATAAAAATAGTGTTCCACTTTGGGTACCTTCATGTTACTTGTTCTAATGCGGTCCAATACCATATCTCTGGAGATCATGGGAATAGCAGGGTACTATGACTCAAGCTTACTAGTGTTTGGTGTGGGGGGTTGGTGATTGAGATTGATGAAAAGGTATCTGTTGTAGGGTGAAATCACCTTTAAATTCACAGTTAACCTTGTAACTCGGGGCATGTTTCGAAAGGAGGTTCTTATGTACGTGGCAATGTATTTCGGATTTCTGTTTTTATATGCAAGAACTGCTTGATAATTTGTCCTTTTATTTTATTTAGTCTTTAAGAATGCAGATAAAGTCATAAACATTTCTGGTTACAGTAATGTTTTCATAGGTTATACCAGCATGTCAGAAAAGTCCCTATTAATGTCGTGAAATTGAAACTTTAAGATATCTGATGGTTATTTTTTTTTTTTATAATCAGAATGGAATATGAATGTGTCTTGTAAATTGAATCAAAGTGGGTTGAAAACCAAGAATTTCTGAAGTATTTTGTATGATTGTGATTATTTTCATGTTAATTTCACAGAGCTTTATTAATGCTGAGCATTATAGATGCTCAGGTGGTTTGATAGTGCTCACACGTATAGTATACCAATAATGTGATATTGAATCATTGGTATGTCATAATACATTGTAGATAAGAGAGATCAATAAAGAACTCATGCATTTTCAAATGATGTTGTCCTCGTTTTCACATATTTTATACATTGTACCACGGACTTGGATAACAGTCCGTGATGGTACTTGGTATTAAAGGAAAGCGTCATTAGAGTCAAAACATGATAACAGATTTCCATCTGTTATAAAAAAAGGTCCACGGAACCGTTTTGCCGATCTTTGCATATAAATTTGAACAAAAATGTATTTTTGGCTCTTTAGGAGCTTCGTCATCAGTTATAACTTACCTCCCTTTGACCATCACTGTTGGGGCCTGTTCGTTTATCTGAACATAAATTGAATATCACATCCGGAGAGAATCCTGGCGGACCTGCAAATGTGTATGCAGGCCTTGCAAGGCTATGTCAAGGCTCGCCTGAAAGCAGCATCATATTACAAGGTCCGACCTTATTTAATAAACGAACAACTGTGTTCCGACCGGTTCAACCATTTATACAAATAGTATTAACCCTTTCGCACAACTGAAATCGGTCGGGCGATATCCGGGAAGTCTGGAAATCTTTAGAAATATTCTCCAAAAATAATTACGTATAATGTAATTATTAGGAAATGCCATGGGAAATCAATGCATCAAAGTTAAATTGTCCATCAGAGGCGTACATATATATAGGTTTTATACCTTTCTGTGTCCATCAAATTTTGGAATGTCACACAAGAAACTAAGGATATTTTGCACGCAGGTTGAGAACACTTAAATTCAGATCGGTTTTGCGACAATTATTGTTTAAAATATATAAATNCCAGTTACATGTATGTTTATTTCAGATGTTATTTCCGTCCGCAAATACATGTATGTTTATTTCTGATGTTATTTCCGTCCGCAGTTACATATATGTTTATTTCAGGTGTTATTTCCGTCCGTAGTTACATGTATGTTTATTTCTGATGTCTATATCAACGATCACGGTCAGACCTGCGGGTGTACTTCTCAATTATGTTACCTTACATTATAGAGAATACTCTCCGTGCCAGGGTTAGGATTGCTGTGGTACTTGGCCTGGTGTCCTACTCAAAGTGGACGAGAAAATATGTTGGTACATAAAATGTGTTGACAATCAAACGAGTTGAATAATGTACTTTTGAACTGTGTGACGTACTGTTGAACATAAACATATATATATATATATATATATATATAAAACAATGACAAACGTTTCTTAGTACCTCCCTAGCGCGTTCACCCCTTTAGAGGTTCATATATATATATATGCAAGTGTGTGATACCCCTATATAAATTCACACACTGTAGGCCCTCACTGGTGTATATAAAAAGATGAATAAAGGGCGCTATATAACTTACATAGGGGAGATCACGCGTGCTCTGAATTAATAGCATAAACAGCATTTTTAAATGGCTTCTTTCTGCTCGTTCAGAAGAAATCATCAGATCTTATAGAAAATAGGAAGAGTTTTAACAAATTTACTAGTACAATATGTTCAATTTTAGGGTCCGAAATCGGGAGTCTCCCTCTAGATTAGGGAGAGATGACAAGTATGTAACGGTCTGGATCTGTACGGTGTAGGGCCTTCTCGGGCATATAGGCACACCGGGAGAGAGAGTGCTATATCTAGAGGCGCTTAGTCGTTCAGTTGCAGAAACTCTGTACGCACATCGTTGTCTAGTAGCTGGTTCCAGCCGATGTTGAGTATCATTATTGTTCTGTTTATGGTATAAATACGCAATATTTCGATAAATCGATTACCGGCCACGTGCACTTGACGTGTTATTCTAGCTAGAAGTGAGTAAAATTAGAAGGCCTCTGGCCTTTGATCGCTATCCGCTACTTGTATTGTTCAATGATGAGCTATCGGTTCATTGGGAACTTTGGAGGAGGGAACAGCTGTTCTACCTGGAGCTGTACATACCATAGTCAACCTGATAAACGACTTGACCGGAAAACACGTGGAAACCCGAATATACCGATATGGCTCTTTCACCAGTAAAGAAAGAAATGTCTGACTGCTTTATTATCAAGGGGTAAAACAACTGTGAAACACGACATCTACCTGTTCCAGGCTACTCATGGGAGCGCCGTATATATAAAACGTCAATGTCTATATTTACACGTCAGCGGCCCTGCGGGGGAAATCTGTACACGTGGTAGTTTTTCCATGGTAATAGCATGCTATAATATAAGCAGTAGTTATACAGATCGCCTGAAACAGTAAGGTATATTTATAAGTACTACATATCACTCTGAGCACTTAATTACGTCAGTCTTATTTTTACTGAAAACACATAAAGTATTAC